CTTTTTTACTATACCTTCCTAAGGTTAAAAATCAATGGGTCTCGTTCTCTTTTTAATAAACATAGTTGGTCACTTCTAATAGGCTGAAAGTTATTTCTACCTCTCGGCGCGCCATGGGCTCTGGTGTGACGGCAACATGATGATCTTGTGCCAATTCTACACCAGTAAACACAGTTGCTTAGTTTGCAGACATCTGATTTGTAGATGCCTGATTTACAGATGATCTTCTTGTTTTCTTCTTGACAGAGTGAGTTTCGATGGTCAGGTTCTTCGTAGTTATCTTAGAATTGGTCCCACCTGGCGTGCCAAAATGTTGGCCCTAAAAATTACAATGCCTACGTGCACGCAGGCCAAGTAACTATAAGCCAACTATGTCTTTCTTGTGAATGCTGGCTTGCCAAATCGCAACCGCTCTTGGTTGGGCAAGTAGAATAGATGTGGTGGTGATGTCGAATATGTTGCTCACTTTTGTACTTGAGCATTTACAACCAAGGAAGGAACGCGTCTCGGCCTTGGGTTCTAAAACCTGAAGACAAGGTTGCTAGATCACTACGAAGTTCAATAAATGGTTTGGCTTTCAATGTGCCGAAGACGAAATAACCTGGTAATACCTCACTTCACCAAGAAGCTAATGGAGTGACTTCTTCAAGATAAAGAAATAGAAACTCTTCACCTGCTGAGACTTGGATATATAACCAACCAACCTAGAAGCAGTGTTGCTTATTTGTCCAAAGTGAAGGATAGTATTTTTCTCATAGGTGTGAAAAGGGTTTCACGTAGAGCGAGTGTTATCGCATAGGGTGTTTGAATTGTTTGTTGAGTTGAAGGGGCATTTCATGTTGCCAAACCTCTTTTATTTATAGAGATGTTTTTCACAACAAACAAGCCTGCTGAGGTAGAGCCCTGATAGGACTGTATTTACTCGACATTTACCTGAATGTTCTCTTTTTATCTTTTTAATTCCCTTCTTAGCCAAAACTTCATATTCATCCAATTCCGACCTCTTTGATTCCAACTAGGATTCTGAACTTGACTCTTTTATGCAATTAATCATTCTTATATGATCAAGAATGAATTTTAATTCTTAGAATGATTCGCATCTAATCAGAGGTCATTTTGATCCTAGGAAATTTTTTTAGTTTACTTAAGACTTGATTGAGCCACATCTGAACTTAATCCTTTCACAATTCCACTTACATGAGGACTCGATCGAATCAACCCTTTCTTGGGCTAAAAGCCTACTGGCCTGTGGGATCACCATTGGGCTGAGGATTGTGGCTTCTCAACTCGGGTTAACCATTCTCGGCCCAAATTATTATTTCAGACCCAAACAAGAGATACACAATTATTGTAGCGTTCTGAACCAATAATATAATATCATATATAAATTTCTTAGAATCTCTTTACATGATGCTATATTATTTGCATAGAATGTCATGAAACGAGAGTGTATCTATAAAATTGTGATGTTAACCAAACGACACACGAGGACAGAAAGACTTTAGACTGACATGTGCATCGCACGATCACATCACATCAATTTGCTCATTAAATAAGAACTCCGTTAGACTTTGTGACCGATCTCCACGCGCCTTTTCCTTCCCGCAACCTCCACCGTCAGTAAAATACTCCCCCCCTCCTCTCTTTCTCTCTCTCGGAAGTATAAACTACTACACCCACACGCATCATCAGCCAAACCATGGACTTTCTGTCAAATCCATTCCTCTTCACATCTCTGGTTTTATTGTTATCCATCTTCACTGCCCAAATCCTAGCATGGAAACTGACCAAGAGAAAGAGGAAGTATCCACCAATTGCTGGCACAATCCTTCACCAGCTGCTCAACTTCAAAAGGTTGCATGATTACATGACTGATCTTGCTGCCAAGTACAAGACCTACAGGCTGATTGGGCCCTTCAGGAATGAGGTTTACACCTCCAATCCACAAAATGTTGAGTATATTCTCAAAACCAACTTTGATAATTATGGCAAGGTATGTATACATCTCTCCAATGTCTTCATAGTTAATCGCCCAAAAAACCTATGTGACTGTAGATTTATACTTTCGTACAATTTTTTTGTTGTTTTTTTATTTATTTCAAAGTTGGGTGCATATGGGAGCATACTGGCCTGGCCAACTTAGCTACGCCCGAGTCTGCTTGTTAGAAGATGCTTATAGTTTAATGGGTTGCAATTAAATTTCACCAAAATCTCGTTTTTATGAAAGAGTTGTGATGATTCTGCGAGGTCCTTTTTTACTTGCTCAGCCATTCAGTTCTTCATTTGAAACAGATGCGGCATTTAAGTACCTTCCCTTTCCTTTGTCTGATTTAGCTACCTTTCAAGACAGGTACTACCTTCCATTAGAGGAGACATATACGGCTTGTTTGGTGTTTAGTACTGGATTGGATTGGATTGGACAGCTCATAACATTCAAAGTACGTTCGAAGTAAGAAATGAATGTAGAGGGGAATGATTTTTCATTGTGGGGAACAAAAGGTATAAGTTATACGGGTGTTGACATCCTACCACTTTGTGGGGGTTGGAAGGGATTAGTTTCCTTAACAAGCAATTCATTTTCTACCTTAAACTTGGACAAAATTTCGTTATTTGTTCCTTTAGAATCCAATGAATTATCCAATCCAATCCAGTTCTAGGCACAAAACAAACCTTTTTGAAAAAATAAAGAAGGAAATTATGGTCAGTTTGAAGTTTATTGCCATGTTTGTAAGTATATTAACTAGTGATTAAAGCCGATAAGAGACCATAGTAATGCTAGGACTATTGATGTTGAATAAATCAGAAACTAAATTAATTGTTGGCATTAAGCAACAAGGGAGGCTCTAACTTGTTCCTTGGAACTTTGAGCAGGGGTGGTATAACTACAATATGCTTAAGGATCTTCTGGGTGATGGAATTTTTACGGTTGATGGTGATAAGTGGCGCCAACAGAGGAAGATATCGAGCCATGAGTTCTCGACAAGGATGTTAAGGGAGTTCAGCAGTGCAGTCTTCCAAAAAAATGCAGCAAAAGTTGCAGATAAACTGTCGGAAATCGCAGCTGCCAACCAGACAATTGATATTCAAGTGAGTTTGCAAAATTAAGTTGTTCAAAAAGAAACCAAGTCAATTTGATTATCCTAATCAACTAGCTATGTCATTAATGTAGGATATGTTTATGAAGTCAACGTTGGATTCGATCTTCAAAGTAGCATTTGGTACTGAATTAGACAAAATGTGTGGATCCAATGAAGAAGGCAGGAGTTTTGGTGATGCTTTTGATAATTCAAGTGCATTGTCCCTCTGGCGTTACGTAGATGTCTTCTGGAGGATCAAGAAGTTTCTGAATTTGGGATCGGAGGCTGCATTACGGAAAAATATCAAAATCATCAATGAGTTTGTGTTTAAGCTAATCCATACAAAAATTGAGCAAATGCAGAAAAATGATAACAGTTCTGTGACTGTGAGTGACAATAGCTATAAGTTTCTGTATCTTATTCGGTTTAGAGCCATCAAACATGATACATTTTTTTTTTTTTTTGTTTTTTTTAATGCTCGATGCAGGTGGACAGAGAAGATATTTTGTCAAGGTTCTTGCAAGCGTCCGAGACTAATCCCTTATACTTACGAGATATAATCCTCAATTTCATTATTGCCGGTAAAGACACAACAGCAACCACACTGGCGTGGTTCATTTACCTGCTGTGCAAGCATCCTTCTGTACAAGAAAAAATTGTAGATGAACTGAAGCAAGTAACCGGCATGAAAAGGATCACAAGCTTTTCCGAGCTTGCAGACAGTCTGAGTGAAGATGTTCTCGAAAAGATGCACTATCTCCATGCTGCAATCACTGAAACTCTCCGAATCTATCCTGCAGTTCCAGTGGTAAGGAAAATCATCTGCGAATCATCACTACCACGTAGTTGAGTGTTGCCAAATGTTCATAATCTATGATTCTGGAGCTCTTCACTCAATCAGAAGTATCGGAAATTTCATTTCCATCCCCGCCCATAGATAGAGTTCACAGATCAAGGGCCTAACTTCGTAAATAATCCTCAGGTTTTGTTCTTATTACACCTTGGTTGCAGGATGCAAAGATGTGCTTTTCAGATGATACTCTCCCAGATGGATACAGTGTGAGGAAAGGAGATTTGGTAGCATATCAACCTTATGCAATGGGGAGGATGAAATTCATATGGGGAGACGATGCAGAAGAGTTCAGACCAGAGAGATGGCTCAACGAGAACGGAGTCTTCCAGCCGGAGAGCCCCTTCAAGTTCACCGCCTTTCAGGTTTTAAAAAATTTCTTTTGAAACCAACCTTCATCCAGTAAATGTATAGATACCTCTAACTTCTTTGCATAATACGATGGTTGACAGGCCGGACCGCGAATATGTCTCGGAAAGGAGTTTGCTTACAGGCAGTTGAAGATCTTCTCGGCTGTTTTGTTAAGCTGTTTCGTGTTCAAATTGAGCGATGAGAACGCAGTTGTCACGTACAGGACGATGATTAATCTTCATATCAAGGGAGGTCTACAAGTTCGTGCCTTCCACAGAGACTGAATTTGGCTTGGTACTCAAGTATGGATGTTTCGTGTAATGTCACATGGTATGTAACATCTTTTGTGCTTGAAAAACAAAATGGTTGTCAAACAGACTCTTAGTATATAACCCTTTTGTAATAAAGCGATGTTGTACAAGCACCAAGATGAAATGAAATATCCATTTGATCCACTGCCATTTAGCCCCCTGAAGAGCAGGGCCAGGTCTCCGTCGCACAATGAACCCGCCATAAGTTGGTATCAGACTTGCCAGATAGAAGAGTTGAACCGAAAACTCCTCACTTACAAGTAAGAAGCCATGCTACTATAACGTGGGATAGGTGGCCTATCATTAGGTTTTTGGATTTCATCCAAATGTCGGTAAAAAAATGTCACATTTCGGGCACTTGAGTCACTTTCAAAGGGCAATTTCTGATATTCATGAGATGAGTAAACGTAGTTAGCCAAAAGAACCAAGAATGATACATATTTCCGAAAGTTATTTAACACTTTTAGATCAAAACTTGTTGGATAAATTACAGAATTGCAGAGGCACAAGAGGGTTTCCTATAGCATCACAAACTACGACACAGAAAAGCTGCCAGGCAAGTAGCCAAAAGGATAAACATGCATTCCAGTTTTACCGATTACAATGATCCAGTCACAGGAGGAGGAAGTTGAATCCCCGGCCTTGCGTTCCATCCTTTGCGCTGCCTGTATGCCTCAATTGCCTTGACTCGAACCCTCTCCTTAGAAGCATCTTGTACATTCTTCAACGCCTTCAGAAAGCAGGGGAATTTTTATTAATTAACTGAATAATTTTAATCTGTATCGTAGTATCATAGAGAATGAAATGCTACCTTAGGAACAACCAACTTTGGGGGCGCTTGAACCACGTCTCCAAATCTGATTTCCTCACATCCAGGGAAATCTTCATTCTCCTCTGTCTTGCCCTTCTTCTTTTTGTTTTTCTTTGCCTCCAAGTACCTGAATACGAAACATAGTCAGTTGTCACTAATCAGTAGAATATGGCTACCGTGTTTGATATCAATCAGTGCAAATTACGACACAATATCCCGGAAAAACTGCAATCTGTTCACTTTTGCATATGATTCATTGACAAGCATTCGACGGAAGATCATAAGGCGTTAAACACATACTTTTTCTTACGCTCCTTTCTTTTTAGCCGAGTTCCTGATTGCTCCAATCCTACATTTTCAAACCGAAGGTCCTGTACTTGCTTTCTCTTTCTTTTCTTCTTTTTCTTCTCATCCGTATGTTGATGTTCCGAATCCTCAGCATTACCCTCATCATCAAATCCAGTTTCAAAGTCGACTTCATCCTCGGGCTTCTGTTCACATAACCATTGTTTTTTTTTTTCTTTGTTATACACAAAATGCAAAGTCACCAACTCAAATTCAAACGTCCCTAATCATACGCAAGTCACGAGTACTTAAATTGAACCTCAACGGGATTAGCTATTGCATTACCCAAACTTGCTTCAAATTTAATCAAACTGTTCCAACCAACCTAGCAACCAAAACCCTAAACACAGAATTCCATAAACAAAAGCACATTGACAAGAAAAGCACTTACTGGTTCAGCAGCACCAACTCCATTTTTCCTCTTTTTTTCTTCAGCAACTTTTGAGAACTTCAAATCGTCTGAAACCGTTGAAAATTCACAAAAGTAAAATCAAAGAGTGAGAATTTAAGAAAATAATATTTATTTATTTTCCTCAGAAAAGCGGGAAGAAAACAAAAACCTTTGGGATCATGAGAAGCAGTGAAGGCGAGGAGTTTGCGAAGCTTAGAGGGCAAGGCGTCGGCTTTGGAGTAATCAGGTGGCGGCGGCAGCCTGGTGTATCCTCCATCGTGCGCTGCTCTGTAATTCTTCTCTCTCCGTCTGATTCCTTTACCTCCCATCTCTCTCTCTCTCTCTCTCTCTCTCTCTCTCTCTTCTCCGTCCTATCTGTGTCTAAGTAAACCCTAATCACTGCAGCGGCTGTTTGTTTTCGCGCGTATTTGAGGCCCACCGAGTCATTGGGCTTAAAATTGTTTAATTCCGAGCTATTGAGAATTCGAGAATTGAGTTAATTAGTGGCGTTTATTTTTGTCAATGTTTTGAAACGCGCCCTGCTTATATATAATAAGCGGTTAGTCACTATCACGATTAATTTTAAGGTATTTGCGGCCAACTAGTTGGAGATGCACCTGGGTGCATCTAGGCAGGTTGGGTCATTATGTGACTATTTTGCTTTTTCTTTTTTTTTTCTTTCATTTTTTTTTATTATTTTAAAAAATCGCATAGAGTTGCAGCTGTCATTTAAACATAAAATAGATCACTTATGTTTTGCATTTTATATTTTTTTATAAATTGTAAGAGATTTGTTGGATATTTGGATGAACACTTATTATATACTTGTTGACCATGTTTCAATATGTTATACTATTTTATACTTTATACTTTATACATCACTCTAGTTTTCAATTTATGTGTTTTGCATATCATTATGCATTTTTTTAGTAGGCCTCACCTAATTCCCCGGCGCTAGATCTCTACACACCGTCTGACTAACGCCTAATACCCCTTAAACCTTGATTTTTGTATATCAAAAGAAGAGGTAAACTAGGTTGAAGAAAAATTACTTTTTATTGACCTAAGCTGAGGAAAAAAATTGTCTGTATTGACCAATATCAAAAAATGAAATGTCCACCAACTTGTACTGAAATATGAAAATTATTTTTGTGGCCTAAAACAAATTTCCACAAAAAATATGTAGAGTTATACTTTCATATTGAGCTAGTGGAGAATGAATTTTTATTTTGAAGGGATTAGAAAGGGAATAAATATGAAGAAATATTCTTCCGTCTTTTCTTTTTTTTTTTCTTTTTTTTTTTTCGGTGAATTTATTATTATTAAGGGAAGAGAAAAGTGTTCAAAACTGTTACAGTAAATTAGGAGACAAAAAAGTTTCAAACCCAAACACACAGGAATAAACCAACACTGTATCCACTAAAATATTATATCACATGCACAAAAATTCATGTTTCCATAGCTCTTGATGAAGAGTCCTCGTACCCTATTCCAAAACGACTTCTATATTTTCATTCACTAAAATATCAAAACAAATCAATGAACAAAAATGAACAGCCCGAGGCCTCCATCGACATGAGCCCGTCATCTCAACCTACATACTTACAACTCAATCGAGTCCAAAAAAAAAAAAAAAAAAAAAAACACCAAAAAAACAACAAAACCTGCAACAAACTCTAATAACCTGCAACTCTCGGGTTCTTCTGATTACCTAATACAAATATCTTACACTCAAAACACAGCTCGAAATTGCAGGCGAATGAATTGGCTCGATTTACAAAACAGGGGCAACTAGCACGCCCTTGCAGTTCATGCCTTCGTTGTAACTAGTGTTGGGTATCTTCTGTAGTCCTTTTCCTAAAACTATGATTTGATGAGGGGGCTCAGTCCATCGCCTTCCCAACCGAGCTTGAGCATGTGATCGACCACTTTCAAGCTCAACTGCACGCAATAAGCACCAGATTAACAATTGTGAGTTTACTAAAAGTCCGAGGAGACTGGAAACTCTTATAAAAAACTACACGAGACAAACAAGTTTTTGACTTACAGCCGGATCAGTGAAAATTATCAACTGTTTATCGACAGTTGACACCAAAAGGTTGGTGTTATCCGTGTTCAGCGCTAGAGATGTGATATCCTGTCCGAGTCCCAACTTTAATACATGAAAAACCTGCAGTGTAAAGGACCACGGGCTTGTGAGCTGAATAGGAACCAATTCACTTATGAAACCAAACATGCATATAAAGAGAAAAAGCCACATCACAAATACAGACTACTCAATTTTGCCATTACAACAAACGAGTACAATCCAACCCCAGGAAGACATTGGAGAAGTAAACAACTGAATTGGAAAGGAATAAATGAAGAGAAAACCAGCGAAGACCCCTATTTTGCAGAAAGTTTTATCACGTTGAAAGGGTAAGATCCCCAATTGCTGAAACTCCTATGATCTTTGGTCATGCAAGCATATGAAACTTTCCAAATTCCAAGAGAATTGACAATTGAAACAAGTCAGTTCGTTTAAACATAAGATATTAACAAGAAGACTACCAACCAAAAAGTCAAAAGTAGAAGGCAAATCACTCTATTTTTGCATTTCTCATACCCTTAGTGTATGAAGATCCAGGAAACAAATTGAAGGCAACGGGACGTCCAATTCCTCAGCTTTATCTGAATTCTGATCCTCAAACTCTGTGTTCTTCAGTTTCAAATCCCAGCCGTTGTTTTCCAAAGACGTGTTTATTCCAACCAAAGCACTCCATCCATCAACAGAAATTTCCATACAACTGATGCTACCAGAGAAAGGTAGTTGAGCTCTGCCAATTGGAACCCCATTAAGAGTAAAGGTATTGAGAGTATTGAGCGTCTTATTCCAAGTCAATACGATTCCCTCAGATGATAGGCAGACAGCATGGGCCTCCCCACCAGGCAGCCTTCTGATCAACCGACCTCTTCTTGTCGAATGCAAGAGAACATCTGATGATTGTGAGCATGAAACAACAATCCCAAGATCTGAACTCACACAACAACAAAGTATTTCCCGCTGGTGGCCGCGAAGAACATGTATGGGACCTTCAATACGACGCCTCCTGCTTTTGTCTGCCAATATGTGTGATAAATTATTACTGTTGATTGTGCCCGGTGTACCTGTCCCACCGGAAGGCTCTGATATACTACTAGAGCGAGAAGTAGATGCCCTATGTATTCTCCAAAGTAATACAGTGGTGTCTCGGGATCCCGTTACAAGGTAGTTGCTATCAGGTGAGAGCCCAAGGCAAGTGACTGGAGCACAATGCCCAAAAGCTGTCTCTAAGGTTTTTGCTCCATCTGATGATATTAGCTTGATACTATTATCCACATGCCCACCTAGTCATGAGCCAAAAACTATCGCTTAGATTCAAACTTATTTCAAACGGAGATGAAACTTAGTTACAAGTTATGATACAATTAAGCAAAAGAAATCCACAAGCCCGGCTAGGCACGGGCACTAGTATCACATGCCATTTTTAGAATAATAAATTGGGGCAAAGACTTGACACTAGTTTATTGCTTCTAATCTTAAGAAAGGAAGAGCAAACTTTGTCTGTAAACTGACAACTCTATATAGTCTGCACATGTGAAAATAAGTTTCAATTCAAACGCACACACAAATCACAAATGAGAAGGGCAGAGTCTAGTTTTCCTTTATGTCCTTAGTGAGTTCCCCCATCTCTAAAAAAGACTCGTCGACTAAATTAATTTGTTTGAAAGAAAAAACAAAACGTTTTAGACACACATTTATTGAATGGTAAACCCTCAACCACATGCAGTCACAATACAATTTAAAACGAAACATAACCGGAGGAATACATAAGAAATAAAAATGCCCAAAAGAAGAATAAATCCTGTCAAAACTTTCCTATTAGTTTCTATGAATACATTAAAAACCCTAATTCATGATGAGCTTTCCTATTAATTTATCTTTATTTTGTTGCTTCAGTCGTACTCTATCATTATTCCTCACATCTCTCACATTTTCACTCTTTAAATTTTGAAGAAGAAAAAACCTTTAAACCAAAACATAAACATTCTCAAACATAATACTTTTAGCCTTGTTTGGCAGATCGGATAAAGGATCGGATAGGATTAGTTATACGGACTCGGGTGTTTGGCGTTCACTCGTACTAAATAAGCACCGGATTAATTTAACCGGTCGGATAGGATAACACGGTATACACCCGCTTAATAAAACCAACCAAAACGCCCGGATTATTTAGTCGGGGAAGAAGAATATGGGAGAGAAAGGGAGGGAGTTTGGGGGGTGTGGCGGAGAGAGCTGGGGAACAATTATTTGGGATTCTTCTGCAGTCGGGGAAGAAGAAGGGAGAGAGAGGGAGGGTGTTTGGGGGGTGCGGAGAGATTTGGGAACAAAAAAATGATTTTATTTTTTTTAAATTTTTTTTTTTTAAGTTTGATTCCTCCTATATAGTATAATATCAAACATAGTATAAATAATACGGTCACTAGTTCGATACTGCACCAAACACCCGACTAATTTAGTCAGTACTATCCGGTGGCTATTTATCCTATCCGACAGAAATAGTCAGTACAGTCCGAGCTGCCAAACGAGGCCTTACATGATAGAATAAAGCGGTGAAAACTAAGGCAAGAAAATGAACACATACCAGTGATTATTTCTTTATCACATGTTATGGCAACTATAGCTGAGCTTGTAATTCCAGATGCAGCAAATGCTAGCGCCTGTGGAAATTGCCATTCATCAGAACTAGATCCAGCTGGTCCCTTGAACATACGGATAAATGTTCCACCAGTTGAGCCTGCTGTAGCCTTTCCATGTTGAAAGAGGAAAGGCAAACCCTGGCCATCAGGAGTGTTCGGCTGCCACTTATGCTCTGCAACATTTGCTGCTGGTGCATTTACATTAGCAATAATGATGGCATCGGAAGAAGCATGAATGGCGGCTGCAGGAAGATTGCAGTGCTCAGGAGCAGAAACAGCATATGGTTTGACTTCTTTTGGGTTCCGGAAGATGGTCTGACATTTAAAAATCAATCAAGATGATCTTCATCAAAAGAAAATATATATATATATACATGATATTTTCATAAGAAATCAAATCCTCATCAGTTATCCAAAATGTAATATAATGTGAGATTGGATAATTTCCACAAATAAAATAAACAATCTGAAAGGTTCAGCTAAGTTTCTTGTTTCCCAAAAGAATGGTACCTGTAAATGAAGAATGTCTGCTAATGGCAACCTCTTCAAGTGAGGGATGGTAAGCAGCTGGGATGGTGTTTGCCCAAAGTATGCAATCTGGTCCTGTGTTGCACGCTGTTGTACCTGATTTTGGCACGGGGACAAAAATTA